GACACACTGCAGTGTATGTCTATGTGGCTGACCTCCAATAAAAATGCTGGACACTTAGGCTCAGGCAAGTTCCCCTGGCTGGGGACACTCCACTTGTCATCACTCATCATCGGGGTAATAGGCACATCCCTTGCAACTCAACTGGAAGGGGACACATGGAAGCTTGTGCCTGGTTGCCTCCAGACATCATTCCAGGTAGCTTTTCTGTATTCTTTTATACTCACTAACCATGAGTATAATAACTTCTGAGTCCTGTGACAGATCTTCTAGTGAGACATCGAGCCTGAGTGTGGTTTTGGAGACCTCTGGGACAGGAAGCCACAGACTGCAAGGAAATATTCACTCTCTCTCTATGATAATGCAGACATAATATTTATAGACATGTGAATATAATACATATAGAACAGATATGTGATAAAGGTCTTGTATACAGAATATAAAAAGAATTCTTATAGCTCAAAAACAAACAACCAATAAAAAATGGGCAAGGGACTTAAACGGACCTTAACAAAAGAGGATATAAAAATAGATAATCATATGAAAAGATGCTCACCATCACTGGTAATCAGGAAAATCCAAATGAGATACTACTAATACCATTAGAAGGGATAAAATTAAAAGAATGAAAATACCAAGTGTTGATAGAGATCTGGTGCAAATGTAACTCTCACACGTTGTTGGTGGAAATGTAAAACGGATCAGGCCCTTTAGAAGGTTCAGAGCTTCTTATAAAGTTAAACATACACCTACCCTATGACCCAGCAGCTGTTCTACTACTAGGTTTTTACCCAAGAGAAATGAAAACGTATGTCCACAGAAAGGCTTGTACACAAAACACCACAACAGCTTTACTCATAAAAGCTAAAAACTAGAAGCAACCCAAATGCCCATCAACAGGCAGATGAATAAACGAATTGTGACATGCTTATACAATGAATACCACATAGCAATAAAAATGAATGAACTAATACGCATATTAGATGGATGAATCTCAGAGATATTAAGTTGAACGAAAGAAAGCCAGACACATATAGCATGTTTTGATTTACATGAAGTTCTAAAGCAAGTTCCATGACGACAGAAATCAGATCAGTGGTTGCTTGGGGCGAGAAACACTAAGAATTTACTACAGGGGGGCATGAAGGAACTTTTTGGGGTGTTAAAAATGTTGCTTTCACTGGGGTGATGGTTGTACAGATTGACAGATTTGTCAAAACCCACCAAACTGTACACTCAAAACAGGGATTTTATTGTATCTAAATTATACATCAATAAAGTTGAGTAAAAAGAAACTAGCTCCTTTATATCTTCCATGACCCAGTGTCTTCGGTTCTTTCGCAGCCTCCAGGCCTCACTGCCTGTCTCCTGTGCCTCCTCTTCTCACCCTGCCCCACCACGGCCCTCACACACCCCCTGGAGGGACCTCACCGGAGCCTATGGCCTCATCTTTCCCTGAGTGGTTGGCAACTCCCAACTCCTCCCTCCACTCCCCGTCCTCCCTGCTGCTCTAAACCTGAAGTGTCCTGGATTTCTCCCTCTGGATGTCGCCCAGGGCAACGCCTGACTCATCACCTTTCCCCCATATCATCTACTTACTGGGTGTCCCTGTCTCAGGACACAGAACCTGCATCTGTCTAGCTGCTCTGGCCAGAAAAGAGAGATTCCGAGGTCGGGCCTTCAGCCTCACCTGAATGCTCTGATACCAAATCCTACAGACCCATCACCCCACTTTCCTCTCACCCTCCCCACCGGGCCAGAGCTCAAGTTTCAGTCTCCTTTTGCCTGAACTACCACAGTGGCCTCCTTTCTGGCTTTCCTGCCACTTTCCTGCCACTCCCCAGCTAAGCCCAGACCGCCTATAACCTCAAGCTATTTCTACAATGCCAGATTAACCTTTCTGAGATTCATTCATTTATTTCATTCAACGAATATATATGGGGCACCTACTCTGTGCCAGACATAGTTTTAGGCACTGGGAAGGTAGTAGTAAATAAGCCAATGAAAAAATCTCTGCCCTCATGGGGCTTACATTCTAGTCAGGGAGGCAGCAATAAACAAGACAAACAGGTAAAAGGGGAGCTCGGACAGTGTGGTGGCCAATCCCAAGGCTCCCGGCCTTCTGTGGTTTGTGCCCCTGTGTGGTCCCTCTCTACAGTGAAAAGGCTGACCTGAGTAACCAGGTACAGAAATAACAGTGTGTGACTTCTGAGGCTACATCATGAAAGACACTGTAGCTTTTGCCTTGCTTTCTCTCCCTCACTCACTCTGGGGGAAGCCAGCCACCACGTCGTTAGGATGCTCGAGCAGTCCTGTAGAGAGCTCGTGTGGCAAGAACCGAGGCCTCCTGCCAACAGCCAGCCCCAACCTGACACCTACATGAGGGACTGATCTTGGAAGCAGATTCTCCAGCCCCGGTCAAGACTTCAGATGTCTACAGTCCTGGCCGACAGTCTGACTGCAACTTCATGAGGCCCAAGCCAGAAGCACACAACTAAGCTGTTCATGAATTCCTGACCCACAAAAATGGTATGAGGTAATGAACGTCACTGTAGCTTTAAGTCCCTAAATCTTGGGGTAATTTATTATGCAGGAACAGATGATTAATAAAGACAGAGGAGAGGAGAAAAATTCAACAGGAAGGGGAGATAAGGAGTAGGGGGAGGAGCTAAAATTTTAGAGATGAAGGCTTTCTCATGAGAGGGTAACAAAGAATGAGGAAGCAAGTCATGTGGATACCTGGGAGAAAAGCATTCCTGGCAGAGGGGCTAGCATGTGGAAGTGTGCCTAGTGAGTTACAGAGACAGCAAAGAGGCTAGTGTGGCCATAGCAGAGTAAGGGAGGGAGAGGAGGCTAGAACTCACCACTGGGGACCAAATGGCAAAGGACTTCACAGGCTATGGTGAGACCTCAGCTTCCACTCTAAGTGAAACAGGAGCCCGTGGAGGATTGACATCGGGCAGGGTACATGGTCTGGCTCACTCTGGAACAGGATCGTCCAGCTGATGTAAGAACAGACTGGAGATGGGACAGCAGAAGCAGGGAGACCAGCTAAGGGCTATTCTAGGGAAGGACGGTGTTTAGCAGGGGAGAAGCCGAGAAGGGTCAGAGTCTGAATACATGATGAAGGAGGAACCAACGGAGATTGAGAATGAATCGAATGTGGGATGTGAGAAATAAAAGCAGTCAAGAAGTGCTCCAAGGTTTTTGGACTGAGCAGCTGGAAAAAAAGGAATTATCATTTGCTGAGACGAGAAAGAGTAGGTCTGCGGAGAAAGCAGGAGTCGCTTTAGACATGTTAAGTTTGAGGGCTTTCAGATATCAAAGTGGGAATGCAAAGTAGGGCAGTGAGCCTGGAGTTCAGAGAAGTCTGGGCAGGAAATATAATTTGGGAGTCATCAGCTCATCAGTTAAAGCCACAAGTCTGGATGACATTTCCTATGGAGTGAGCGCAACTAGAGAAGGAGGAGGGCATCTGAAGAATGAGTCCTGGGACCCTCCAGTCTTGGGGAAAGAGGTCCATCATCTTTGGGGGAGATGAGGGACCAAGAGTAGAGACTGAGGCAGAAACAGGGGAGTTTGTCAGAACCCCAGCATCTCAACTCAAGAAAGGAGACACATCACAATATGAAAGGGGCCCTGTGACTCAGATTTCTGTAGGCTCTCAGGGTCTTTTCAACTTTTGTTCTCACTAACACCTTAATAATTTTACTGATTTTAATAATTTTTCTTTAAATAACTTAAAAATTGTGGTTAAAAAAACATAAAATTGACCATCTTAACCATTTCTAAGTGTGCAGCTCAGTAGTGTTAAGTATATTCATATCGTTGTGCTACCAACAGCCAGAACTTTTTCATCTTCCAAAACCGAAATCCTGAACCCATTAAACAACTCTCCATTTCTCCCCTCCCCCCAGCTCTGGGCGACCACCATTCTACACGCAGTATTTGTCCCTTTGAGACTGGCTTATTTTGCTTAGCATAATGTCTGCAAGGTTCATCCACACTGTAGCACGGTCAGAATTTCCTTCTTTTTTAAGGCTGAATACAATATTCCATTGTATGAATGTACCACTTGGAAGCAACCCAAGTGTTCATCCATTGAATGAATGCTTATTCATTCATTCAGTGGATGAACACTTGGGTTGCTTCCACCTCTTGGCTATTGTGAATAATGCTACTATAATAAACATGAGTGTACAAATATCTTTTCGAGATCCTGTTTTTCAACCCCTTTGGATATACAGCCAGAGATATTATTTTTAATTTTTTGAGAACTGCCTTATGTTTTCTATAGCAGCTGTACCATTATTAAAAATAGAGATACTATTTTTAATTTTTTGAGAACTGCCTTATATTTTCTATAGCAGCTGTATCACACACAGGGTACAAGGGTTCCAATTTCTCCACATCTCTGCCAAAACTTGTTAGTTTCTGTTTTTTGATAGTGGCCATTCTAATGGGTGTGAGGTGATCTTTAAATGATTTTGATTATGAAATATACATGCAGGACAGTGAGAGGTTGTAAAGAAATAGTTGTAAAAAGAGAGCATTCACGGAATTCTTGACCCAGGTCAAGAATTAAACATTACCGATGTCCCAGGAACATCCCTGCCCTGTCCTGGTAAACTTTTTCTGTCACAACCTTCTTTACCTCCCCACACTCCCCAGCTAAGCACTCTTCTGCTGTTATGGAAATAATATCCTTGCTAATCTTTAGTTTTATCACGCCTTTGTAACCCTAAACAATAGTTTATTTTGGGCCAGCTTTTAAAATGTTTTAATTTTATATTTTGCCAGCTTCTGAACTTTATAGTAATAAATCATTTCTATGTATTTGTGTGTAGGTGTGGGTGTGTTTTTTTTTTACTTTTGCTTAACGTTGCGTAGGTAGGAATCCTCAATGTTCGTGCAGCACTCATTTTTGTATAGTATTTCATAGCAGGAAAATTCACCCTCAGCCTCTGCAAATACAAATCCACAGACACAGAGTGAAGCTGTACCTCTCTCCTGGGGCTTCAAGGCAAGGGTCTCCATGGTGGCCTTTGGCAGCGTCCCCCAGAGGCGTGGGCAGCTGTGCAGCCTCCTGCGCCCCAGGCCAGGCCCAGAGGAGCGGGTCCTCCTCCTGGGGCTCAGCGACAGCAGCAAGGTCAAGTGGCACAAGCACTCTCAGCTTCAAGGTCACACTGGCCCTGTGCCGAGGTCGGGACCAGGCATGCTCAGCGGGAGCACAGCATCCCAGGCTGCGCTCACGACCCATCAACGCGCCCCACGCAGCCTGTCACACTCCTCCCGGGGACCATACGCGGAGGTAGGCAGCCCTGAGGCTGAGCCAGCAGGCGCGGAGCCCCGGGGCGGACGGACAGACCGACCGACTGACAGACGGATGAGCGAGTGAATGGACCAGCCTTACACAAAAGAACAGCAACCACCACAAAAGAACAGCCATCACCGCAATAGAACAGCCCAGCAGCTGCCACAGGAAAGTGCGTCTGCCCAGACCGGACACAAACTACAACTCCCGGGAGACTTTGCGCCACTATCTCGGCGTACTCCATTTCCCAGAAGGCCTCTGGGCCCCAGAGCCGCTCTGACGTCTCAACTCAGAAGAGCGGCACAGCCTTCTGGGAAATGTAGCTTTGGAGCCAGAAACCACGGTCTCCGGGCCCGCTCAACTCATCGCCCCCCGGCTTGTTGTCGAAATATTTTGGGTATATGTGTGCGTGTGGGAACATGTGTGTGTGCTGTTGCGTATGTTTGTGTGTGTGCTGTTGCGTATGTTTGTGTGTGTGTGTGTGTGTTCGTCCGTGAGGCTTTCTGGGCCGCTGCATGTGTGTTTAATTGGGGGTTATCGGGAGGAAGGTGGAATTGTCTTCTCAGTGTGTCGGTGTCGCCAGGTGGAGGCAGGTGGGCTCTGGCCTACATCTATCTTTGCAGGAAAGGCTCAGGTCCCTGCCCCTACTGACGCTAGAGGTGGTAGAAGGGCAGTCAAGGTGTTTTCCAGCCCCGCCCCCTCTTTCAGGGGCCCTGAAACCTGCTGCTCTTTGGGTGCTTGGGGCCCCAGGAAGAGGGCAGAGGGGCAGAGGAGGCAAAGCCCCAGCTCTGCTCTCAGACCAGGTGGCCCTGACCTCAGGCCAGGCTCAGGAGACAGGGAGAGAAGGTGTGATTGGTGGTCTGGCCTGCTCTAATACTGCCGCCATCCCCGACTTGGACCCAGGCTCAGTTTTGGCCACAAGCTCTCCTCAGCCAGCGTCAGCACACCACAGCTGTGGCCAGGCCTCCCCTACTGTGGTGGTGGCTAGACTCCAGTATGGCCCCTATATATCTATTCTCCTGGTATTCACACTCTTGTGTAATAGGTCCCACACTTAATATGGCTGACTTGTGTAACAAAAAGAATATTGTGGAAATAACTGGTGTGTAAAATCATGATGCCAAGTCATAAAGACACTGACTGCAGCTTCCACCTTGTTCTCTTAGATCACTCTGAGGGATCCCAACACCACATCCAAAGGACACTCCAGCAACCTGTGGAGAGAGGTTCACACGGTAAGAAACTGAGGCTTGCCAACAGTCTGCAACAATTTGCCACCCACAAGAGAGATCGAGCACTTCAGCGCTCGGTGACGCCTTGACTGCAATCTTATGAGAGACCTCTAGCTAGAACAACACAGATTACTCAGACATGTTGTACAATAATAAAAGTTTATTGTTGCTTTAAGTCACTAATTTTGGGGTAATTGGTTTTACTCATGCTCCTGTATCTCCCTCTCCCACGCTGAGGTGAAAGGGATCAGAGGAGCCTGGGTGGGTGGTGGGAGTGACTAGGACCCATCATGGCTACTGCCTCACGTGCACTCTCCAGTCCTAGCACCTGGGCCAGGGGTCCCCAACCCCCGGGGAAGCAGACCTGTGCTGGTCCATGGCCTGTTAGGAACTGGGCCACACAGCAGGAGGTGAGCGGTGGGCCAGTGAGCGAATGAAGCTTCATTTGTATCTGCAGCCGCTCTCTAGCGCTAGCATCACCACCTCAGCTCCACCTCAGATCATCAGGCATTAGATTCTCATAGGAACACCGGTTCATGGTGCCAAAAAGGTTGCGGACCACTGCCCTGAGCCAGCTGGCCCTCCCAGACACAATTCCCAACTCTTCCACTCCCTGCTTGCTAACCTCCCCCTACACCACATAAGTGTATTCCTGCCTCCATTGCCCTATATGTATACTCCCTGCACACCCCACTCCCCTATCAGGTGTGCAGTGCCTCGGCCTCCTGGTTGCACGTTGAGGGCAGGGCGAAGGCAGAGAGCCGGGCCAGGGCTGCCTCCCAGTGGGGAGGAAAACTTCTGGGATGGGGCTGGGCAAGGACCCTGCCCCTCTTCAGGCCATGCTGGACAAGGGACACGGAGACACTACCAGCATGGACAGCTAGGCCTGCTATGAGCCCCTCCAGCCCCGCATTATCAGAAATATTAAGCCAGCATCTATTGAGTGCCTACTGAATGCCAAGCCCAGTACAGACACTTTTATTCACTGATGGTAGATAAATATTTAGGATGTGTCTACTGTGTACCAGGCACTTTTCTCAACCTCTAGGACACAGGGGGAGTCCCTGCCCTGGTGGAAGTCAAATCTGAAGAAAACAGACACTAGAGAGGAGGAGTTATAAAGCATGGTGAGTGCTATGTAGGAAGATGCAGAAGCAGCATAGAGAAGGGCTCTGGGGTCCGTGGGGAGGCCTTCTGTGAGGTGATAGAAAATACATATAGGTATCTGTCCCCAGTTCCTAGAACAGAGCTCCTAAAATCCTTGTAATTTGCTGGGTAACAGGCATGTCTTTTGTTCTAATGAGGCGACACTAGGTGGGCTCCTGGATGAGGGCTGGTCCCTGGAAACACCGGGCCAGGATTAAAAGCTTGGAATTTTCAACACTGCCCCCCATTCTTTGAGAAGGGCTGAGAGTGGAGTTAAATGATCCATCATGCCTACATAAAAAAGCATCCATAAAATCCCAAGAGAATGGGGTTCAAGGAGCTTCAACTCATTGGAAGGTTGACATACACCAACTCCACAGGGACAGAAGCTCCCGTGCTTGGGACCTTCCCAGACTTTACCCTACTTATCTCCTCATTCGGCTGCTCATCTGTATCCTTTATCATATCCTTTAATAAACTGGTAAACTTAAGTGCTTCCCCGAGTTCTATGAGCTTGTCTAGCAAATTAATTGAACCCAAGGAAGAGGTTATGGGAATCTCTGATCTATAACCAGTTGGTCAGAAGCCCAGGGGATCAAGCTGGGCCGTGACCGGCATTTAAAGTGGGGTAGGGAAGGCAGTCTTGTGGGACTGAGCCCTTGACCTGTGGGATCGGACGATATCTCCCAGTAGGTAGTGTCAAAATCCAGTTGAATTCTCAGACACCCAGCTGGTGTCTGAGAATTGCTTGTTGGTATGGGGGAAAACCTTCATACATTTGGTGACCAGAAGTGTTGGCCAAAGAAAAACACAGGGAAGAAAGACATAGCAGGAAAGAACTGTTTTTTTTTTTCCCTCTATGCCTTCCTAGAAGTGTGTAAATTGTGACCTAAGGCTGAGGGAACAGGAAGCACACAGCCTGGGCGTGGGGAACTGCTGGCATGGTGGGCAAGAGCGAGCATGTCGCTGAGGGGCGGGTGCATGCAACCCCAGGGCTGCATGGGCACAAAGGGCTCCAGGCTCTGCAGGGTGAGGCGGGAGCCCTGGGAGGATGTCTGGCAGTGGTTTAACAGGCGGGTTTAACAGGCTCGCTCTGAGAAGGCAAGGGCGAAACAGGCCTAGAGAAGTGAGGCAGGCAGGGGGATGGCGGCCCAGTCCAGGGGGTTGGTATGGGAGCAAGAAGCGCCAGGTTCTGGAGCTACCAGGAGAGCATGCCAGCTGCTTCCATGCTGCTATGAGATCAAAGATGAGGGCAGAGAAGTGACCTTTGGCCACAAGGAGGTGGAGGGAATCCTGATGGGGTTAGGCTGACCCAGCCCTCAGATGCCCTTCCCGACGCCCTTCCCAGGAACAACGGGATGTGGTCCATTCCAGGCGCCAACGATCAGGAGGATGGCCTTGACATGAGACCCCAGCCTAGCCAGCAGGAGAAGGGGAGCCCCGAGGACCTCTTTGTGGGCAGAGCATATTCCTCCGGAGTGGCCCTCCCTGCTTGGCCAAACACAGACCCTCTGTTGCCCCATCTGTGGGTGAAAGAGTGAAGCACAAAGTGGTTAAGGGGCCACCTGCCCAAGGTTGTGTGGAGGCTGGGGGACAATCAGGAACCTAGGATTGTCCCACTGGGACCCAAGGCTGGGCCCTAAAGGCACACAGAGATGCTGGCGGACCTGACGCTCCATCTGTGGCAGGTTGGGGAGCCACAGCCTAGACTGGTAAAAGCCACCCCAGAGCAGACATTCTAGGGCTTCTGATGCCAGGACCAGGCAAATAAGGTCATTACCAGGTTATGAGCGCATTACTGTGGTCAGGCAAGGTCATTACCAGGTTTTCCCCTTCGGAGTCACCTTCCCTAGGACAGCCCTTAGGAGGCCAGGGCACAGTTCTAGGGCCTGGTGGGCAAGGGCTGTTCAGGGACAAGGTGTGCCTGAGCCCAGCCCCCATAGGAAGCCACGGACCCTGCAATAACACCTGGGACAAGTCACTTTCCTTCTTTGGCCCCTTCTGTAAACAGGAGGCCACCTGTAGCTTGGGTCTGGGTGGCAGGGCCTCCCAGAGTATACAGACTTGCCCTTCAGGACATGGGCCTCCTCTGGCCACTGCACATCCTCCCAGCCTCTGTCACCTCTGCTGCCCTCACCATCTTCTGCCAGCAGTCTCGTCCTGGGCTCTGACAGGTGGGGTAACGTCAGAGGTACGGTAAGAAGAACTAGCCCAGATCTGAGTCCTGAGCAATGCCTCAAGCCAGACCTGCCGGCTCAGTTGGTGGAGGCCCACTATGTGACCTGCACTTTGGGGGCTCGACGGACATGATAACCTTTCCTTCCTCAGAAACCAGCACCCAGGGTCCAGGCCCCGGCCAAGCTGGCCTTGCTCACTCGCCCTACGAAGGCCCAGTCAGTCCAACTCCTGGAGGAAGCAGCGCAGTTGCAGTGCAGGATGGGCAAGTGTACATGCTCCAGAGTCTGTGCCAAGGCTCAGCGTTCCTCACCAGGAGGGAGAGCACAGCCCTCACCCCAGATCCTCCGCTCATACCGCCCCCTCCAGGACTGGCTCTAAGAATGAGCCCCACTCCTCCTGGGTGGCCAATCGCTCAGGGCGGACCATATTCCAGACATTCCTCTGATGACTGAGGCTACAGTCATACAGGCTGCTTCCCTGTCCCCTCTGAGGCCACTAGAGGCCCTCCAACATGCAAAGCTGGGCTGGTCCTGCCCGCTGAACTCTCTCCTGGCTCCTGACTGCCCTTGAGCTCTGGGAAGTAACACATCCTCTCTAGCTGGCTGCCAGGGTTTAATGGACAGAGCACAAGGGTGATGGCAGTTAAGTCACACAGTGACTGTCCGCCTTCTCTGGGCGGAGGCAGAGCCCCAGGGCTTTCTCTCCCTTACCCTGCTGAAGTCCCCACTGTTAACAGTTAACTAATGGCAAGGCCACTAATGGCCTGAATGCCCAGGGCCAGGCTGGAAACAGTCCCAGGGAGCTGATGACTTCTCACAGACACACTTGGTCTCCCCACCCCCAACAGGCCTGGGCACCGGCCCTGGGCACAGATAGGGGATGTGAAGTGGTGAAGGAGCTGGACCCTGCCCTAGGCTCCAGTCAGCCCTCCGTGCAGGGAGCCACTGGGCAGACTGGGCCGTGAGGAGCTGCGAGCTGGCAGTATGTCGGTTCCCCAGCTCCAGCAGCTCTTGTTCCTGCTTCTTGCCCCGTAGGCACCTACCTCTGCTCTGACCAGCCAGCCTCAGCAAGGCCTCCCCAACCCACCTCCTCACTTCCAGTCCTCAGCTTCTGCTCCAGACCCTCCACTGATGAAGGTTGGGCCAGGTTACCACACCTCGCTTCTTGACCCTCACTGCACTTGACCTCAGAGGCTCAGGGTCGTGTTGACCACACTTGCCTGTTTGCCCCCCAACAACACTCCTACAGCCTGACTCAGGACCCACTTGGGTTCTCAAGGCCTCCTTCGCAACTCTGCACTTGCTCCTTGGCACACCCTTGGCTTTGGGACCTTCTACCACAAGTCCTGACCCCACATCTGCCGCCCTTGCAGGAACCCAAACTCCTCACTGCAAAGGCTTTGTTTCTATCACGCTCCCTCAGCCTCATGGTCAGAGACAACAAAGCCTCTACCTGCCCAGGCTGCCTGTGCCCTGGCAGCCTGCCCTCACCCCTCCTGCCTCTCACAGCCACATCTGCTGGTCTGCAAATCTGGAGTTTGCCCTGAGCCCTCTCCCACCCTCCCGGCTTCCTTGCCATCCCCTCCTGGAGGGGTCTCCTTCATTTCACAGATGAGGATTTAATTTGAGCTCAGAGAGGGCGGAGACAGAGGGTCACGCAGACTGGCTCCCGAAGGCTAGGGAGGAATTCGGGGCTTTTTTGTCAGCAATATTTTAATTACCGGGGGAGAGGGCGGGGGATGGTTAACAGTTAACGAGGCTCAAGGGATCAGCA